AACAAGATCGCCACTGACATAGGTTGAAAGCCATATCTTGCAGCGTCTCCAATCAGGCGCAACGATGATCCTGCGGTCCCCATCCTGGAAGGCGAGTAGTACCGCAGCACCCAAACGTTTCGCGATTTCTTTCATACCCCTCTGGTCAGGTCGAGGGTGAGGGGTATGAAAGAAATCACAAGACGACCGCACACACCTTAATAGTGGCAAATCACTGTGAACTACACAGGATCTTGGTGATACCGTGTGGAAACGCTATATTTCACGGAGAAAAATCCTGTGTGCAAAAGTGACTTGTCAGCATATCAGTGTGTAGGGCTGTATAATGGCAAGGTGGGGGGCCAATCCTGATTTGCGAACCTTTTTGATCTGCAGGAGAAATAACGATGTGCGCGGTTGTTTGACCAAACACAGTTCTGATTTCCTAACAACCGGTCAAGATGAACAACAGAAGTTGAACCCTACATCCTGAAAACAATGACACAGCAACCTTAACGACACGAATATTGGACAACAGCGCTCCAGCAGCAAAATGGGTCGAGAATAACCGAGTTCAGTTGACTCATACTTCTTAGTTCCTATCCTAGAATATCGGTAGACACACTAGTGCAGCCAGAAGCCCGATAGCGTCACACATCGTTGTCACAAAATCAACCCGAACCGGTCGTTCCACGCAGTCTGCCTATTACAGCCTTACAGGCTGTCAGTCATCATCATCATCATCATCATCAACGACAGCATGACATCAGTGCTCAACACCAATGCTTCACTGCCGTACAACCATGACTTATTTGAAAGTCTTATTGTAAAGAAAAGAATAAAGGTGAATGGGGGAGGGACTTAGTGCTAGCTTAACACAATCATTCCGAGGTGCCTACACCTCCAGACATTCACTCAGGCAATCTGGACAGAAACTGACAACAAGAACGCCACTGACATCGGTTGGCAGCCATATCTTGTAGTGTCTCCAACCAGGCACAGTGAGGATCACGCGGTCCCCATCCTGGAAGGCGAGTAGCACCGACAGCACCCAAGCGTTTCGTGATCTCCTTCATACTCCTCTGCCAGGTCATGGGTTGGCCACCTCTCTGTTTACGCCACTCTGCGTTACGCACGGAAAACAGCACTCTCTTCGGCAAACGATGGTTCGGCATACGTAACACATGTCCCAACCAACGCAGCTTCTGGTGCTGGACACATTAGGCTGTCAGTACGGACCCGACGGCGCGGCTTGACTACATCTGAAGCTGCCAAAACGATTCGCATATCGGCTCAGTCTCTCCTGGACGTATGACCCATAGTTGATTGACCCGGAGAGTCATCGTTCGTCTCGACCATCTCGCAATCAGAGACGAGACAAAAAAATTGTCTGTGTATCCACGTTTTCAAACAAACTAAACAATTCGAGTGTTCGTTTTAGTGTCCAACATGCCAATAATCGAATGTTAAACTTCGCCAGGATGGCAACGTGCAATGACGTCAAATCTGAAGTCACTTGTCTTATCGAGGCACTAGGTCTTCATTAAGTCTCTGGCACTGCATTTGCCAAAAGTAGTCGTAAGAAGATAGACAGAGTTTATGTGTAGATTCCATCAGTGAGTGAAGTTAGTTGGTAGAAATCCTAAACTCAGTGGCGTGACTCTTCAATGGACAGAGGTGAATGTGATACGCTTGAAATGGGAAACAGACGTTCATCAGACTTATCCCTACCAGTGAAAGGGGGAGTAAACTTCGCTGCGAAGTCGTTCATCATCATCAAAAAAAACAAATAAACAGTTACAAACTATCGGACAGGAAAGTAAACGTCTCGGAGGCACGCGTCTCCTTCGAACTTCCATGGACATTCATTGACTATTATGCAATCAGAAACGAACACTGTAAAGCAGTTTCTTAAGTTCCGTAA